CCTCTATGGGGTTAGCCATCCCCATGCTTGAGGTATTCCCACAATGTTAGTGGGGGTGTGGTTTTCTCCTTGGTAGTTCCTTGATTAGGGTATTGTTCTCTGCTTGATTGTTTGTCTGGTGTTAATCCCTGCTTAAGTGTAGGCTGCGGGAGAGGATGTGTTTTTACCTTTCTGTTTCCTTCTTAGCTTTTTTATTGTCTTTTTTGAATGGTGTGTAAATGTGGTTTCTCTGTATGTGTCTATTGATGGCTGATTTGTCTGAATGCCAAGCTTCCAGGAATCCCCTAGCATTTTTGGATTTAGCTTGGTCTAAGATGCTGACAGTTTCCCAATTAAAATTGTGGTTGAGTCTGTCCATGTGTTGTGAATTTTAAGGAGTCTTCATTGTGTCTTCTGACTGCTAGTTGGTGTTTATGGATGTGCTCTGCTAGTCTTCTGCCTGTCTGTCCTCCATAGTGGCTGTTACAGTCCTTACACTGTATGTTGTAGATGACCCCTGTTTTTGCTTCTTGGGCTACAGAGTGTTTTGGTTTACTTAAGATGTTTTGGAGGGCTTTAGTTGGTTTGTGTGCTACGGTGATGCTGTGTGGTTGTAATAATCTGTTGGTTGTTTCTGAGACGTTTCTGATGTATGGCAGTGTTATCCTTTTCATAACTTGTGTTGTAGTGGTTTGAGTGGTCAGGTACTTTTTGATAATGAAACGTTTGCAAGCAAACCGGCAAGCTCAGAGATCACCAAGGACTCCACAGTTCAACCTTGAGCGACATATATTCTCTTCTACTGAGGTCATACGTTGCCTGTTTCTGGTTTGTAGCATACATACACGCCTGAACCTAAACTAAGGCTACAGCCTGTTAATTTTGATAGGTGACTGTAATACTAAGATTGTAGCAGGTCAGAACTATGACACTACAGTACTGAGAAGGATGACCATTGTTCAGAGACCTCCAGGTTTTCAAAGAATCTTTCCATCTGTAGTACCCAAGTAAACAGATTAGAGAGGAAAGATTTGTTAACATAAATGGTAGCTGTTAAAAGATTATGCCAATGGACAACTAATACAGCAAAAATTGGTTGTAGTGTAATTAGTCATATAACAGTATTATACTCAATATTTCTTTTTATTGCATTGTTTTTAACCAACTTATAGAGGTTGGGATGTATGCTGCTCGTGACTGGAACGGCCTGTAAGCTCAGTAAAGTAATTAATAATTAATACAATTAGCAGTGTTTCAGTGAGTTCAGTGAGTTATCAGCTACACAACAGAACGCATCCATTTAGGGACCCGTGGATAGTTTTCAAGGAATCCATGTACCTGGCTAGGGAAAAAAATATTTTTGCTAACCTCTGACTGAAATTTAGCTTTTCATTCAATAATGAATGTAAGCAACAAAGTAATGTATGGTCTCTAGACTCCAAAAATGTTTAATTTAAATACATCTCATTATCTAAAATTATTATACCTTAAAAGGCTAAACCAGAATACATTTGGTTGCGTGAAGTATCTTTTTCTCCAAAAGCATGTGGATAATAGTCAATTTGAAGGTTCTTTTGTACCTAAATACCCATAAAAGCCATTAATATTTTGATAACTGTATCTCAGCATACTTGGTTTCCTTTGTAATACAATCTATATCCATGTATTTCATTTTATGCATTTAAATACATTTTTCTGAGAAGGGGCCCATAGGTTTCATCAGATTCTCAAAGGGGACCATGGCACAACCCCCGGGTTAGGTTAGGAAATTAAGAAAACCTAAAAGGCCCTAAGGCATTTCTTCTCCAGTTGAGGATGGAAGATAAAATGAGAGAATGGAATTCTGAAAATGTGCCTCTCGGTGTAATATCGTGCAATGAGTAACAGAATCAAAGCATGTAGATGAATTCTTGGTATTCAATGTGTGTAAGTTCTGTTTGTGCCGAAATCCTCTTTAGGATTGGGTGGAGAAAGGAATGATTTGATGGGAAATGAAAGCAACTAAAGAGTCAGTTGAGATAGTTACTGGAGGTACAACAAACTGGGTTTTTTTCCAACTTAAAGAAGACTATCAAGCATTATTGTCCAGGAAAAAGCTTGAAGAAGACAGGAATAGATGGAAAAAATTAAGAATGGCAGTGAATAAAAAGAATCAGGATTTTCTGGCAACTTCTATCTTGAGAAATACTATTATAGAAGAAATAGAAATTACAATTACTGTATATTGTTGGGAGAAACAACCTCAGATATGCAGATGATACCACTTCAATGCCTAGAAATGAGGAAGACTTAAAATAATCTCTTACTGAAGATGAAAAGAGTGCAATATCTGGTCTCTGCTCAAGATTAACAAACAATCCAAGATCATGCCAACCAACAAAGCCAACCCAAAGCAAGTAGGTGGAGAAGTAGTTGAAACAGTAACAGATCAAGCTTAAAAATTCACAGGGGTGGTGGCTGTAGCCATGAAATATAGAGACATCTGCTTCTTAGGAGAAAGACTATGACTAATATAGAGAAAATATTAAACTGCAGAGACGTCATGCGGACAACAAAAACGAGGCCATCATTTTCTGCACTGCACTGTAACATATGGCATCAGAAAGGCTGAATGAGGAAAAATCTGCGGTACTGGAGAAATGTTTGAGAATACGTTGCCCCACAAGAAGAACAAATCATTCAATCTTAGATGAAGTAAAACCAGATAACTCACCGGAAGCATTAATAGTAAAGCTAAAGCTTAAATATTTTGGACCCAAAAGGAAAGGATTGGAAAGACCCTGCTGCTTGAATCGGAGAAGATTCAGTTGGAGAAAAGAAACTAACAGAAGAAAAAGGTAGGTAGACACTATCATTGATGACCCAAGAAGAAACTTACACGAGCACAAAAGAAGCGTTTACTGATAGACAATCCTGGTGCAATGATGTCCATCAGGTAACAAAAAGTTGAAAGAAACTGAACAACAAAAATCCTTTTCTATAAGAAAAACACAGCTCCTAGTTGTAACAGTTGTACTACAGGTAGTCCTTGTTTAGCAACCACAATTGGGACCGGCAACTCAGTCATTAAGCGAAGTGGTCACTAAGTGAAAAACTATGTGACCATGACTGTGCTTATGATTTTACACAGGACAACATGTGCTAACTGACTGTAATGGTGAACACATGACTGAGAGAGAGATGCTACGAAGGTTGTAAATGCAGACATTGGTTGCAAAGTTACTTTTCATCACCGTCATAACTGTGAACAGTTGCTAAACGAGGCAGTCACTAAGTGAGGACTTCCCGTAATGGCACGTGAATGTGTTTATGGTATAATTATTCTAGCAAATTCTTAATTCTTTTCCGTGTGAATGTGAGATTACAAAATCTACAGGAATGGCCTCAGCTAACAACTAAGTGATTCAAGATCTAATAATTCAAACTAAGTCTAGGGAAGCACAAGAACATATACTGGCTGAGGTTATTAAAGTAAAGACCAATTAGTGGGCTTTTGCATTAGCAAAATTATTTACAAGTAATTGTTAACGGTTATTAATAAATGTGAATGTATTCCCAAGGTCTGGGGAAAAGTGGTTGTTCCATTTTAAAAGTTGAAGTTAAAAATCAACTATAGATCTATTAGTCTAATTATTTTATTTATTTATTCCATTTGTATACCACTAAATCTGCCATGGACTCCTGGCAGTTTACATAAACAATTCAAGTACCCACTGCAAGTAATAATCAGCAATAAACCAATTAATCAGCAATAAACCAGTTAAACACCCACAATAATACCATAACAGTGTAATAATGAATGTCACAATAACAATCATATTAACTATAATGTTGACAAAATAATCATTAGCCAAACTAATGAATTATAAAGGATGACGACAACATGCCAACTATCAACCTCCCTCTGGAACAGCTCTCTTAACTAACATCTAGCATAGCCCCACTTTTAAGGGAAGACTATTCCATGAGGGTGAGGCTGCAACAGAAAACCAATGCTTTCTAGCCTTGGCCAAGAGCTTTTCTTAGGATTAATATACTAGTTAGGCTGATTCTGGTTGGAAAAGGCAATCTCCACATACCTAAGTACCAAGCCATGTAGGGTTTTAGAGGTCAAAACCAATACTTTGAATTGCACCCAGAAACTTTCAGCTAATGCAGAACCTGTAGCACAAATATAATTTTCTCCCTTGTGAGTTACAATTATAGGCTGCTACACTTTGTGCCAGCTGTAGTTTCTGTGTGGTCGTCAAAGGCAGCCCCATGTAAAGCTCATTGCAGTAGTCCAATCATACAGTAATGAAGGCATGAGTCATTACTACAAGATTTTGTGCTCCAGATAGTGCCACAAGTGGTGCATTAGCCAAATTTGAATGAAGGCCTGCTGGTTATGGCCTCCATCTGGTTGTCCAGGAGGAGTCATGGGTCCAGGAGGAGCTCCATGTCATAGATCTGCTCTGATGGGGCAATTCCTCTCCCTCAAGAAACAACACTGGGACTGACCAAGAATCTTGACAATCAATCAATGACTGTGACTTGCTTGGACTTAGTTTCAACCTGTTTTGTCCCATCTAGACCCTGAAAAACACCAGGCTAATTTGTAGTGTGATAGGTACTATTTGCATACTAATGATACCAAACCAAAAGATGACCCCTCCAAGTGGCTTCATTTAGATGTTAAATATGCAGGTAATTTCTTGCAAAGTCATTGACTGGTTGAAGAAGGGAAGATGTCTAGCAGCCCACTCTACAAGATAACACTGCACAATTAGTTGTACCAAAACCAGAGTATATTTTTTTCCTTCAAAGTAAGGAGAGCTTAAGTAGAGCATGGGCAATAATTATATAGAGTGGCTATATAGTTTGATGTATCCAAGTATGCTATTATGAAGTCTAGCCAAAGTTCAGCAACAACTGCTCATTTTTTTCAGATTAAAGGGGATATTTTAACCAACAGTTCATATCGTTGAAGCAAAAGCTCTAGCCCAATTACTAAATGTCCCAATCTGGGTTTCAGGAGCTTCTGTTACCAAAGAAAGAGTTGAATCCAGATTTCTGTGGGCATTTTTCACAGTATTTAATCTACTTTTTGAAGGCACAGTGATATCACCTGATTCCACAATACAGCTTACAGCCATTTGTTTTTGGTTAAGCATATTTTATTTGAAACTAGAATGTCTGACTTCTCTTACAATCATTTCAAAACTCATGGTTTAAGTTCATTTGCTTCAATGTCAGAGAATGAGTATTAAAGCTATTAAATTAGAGCAAGGCTATCAGAATGTTAAGAAGTTCGGTAGCGTAATTTTGCAATAGTGAAAGGGCCACATTCACAGTACCAAAATTTGAATAAGGAAGAAGCACATATGTCTAGCTTTATAAATCTGAGAAAGTAGAGAAATTTACTACTATTATTCTTCAAATATCCTGGTACTGTTTGAAATTCTTAATAAAAAGTATTATTTTTTACTATGGAACATTTTCCTTAAGGGATGAAGGTATTTTTGACACAAAGCATTATATTGTGTGTGCAATTTAGGAGTTTAGAAGATCCAATGTTTATTAATTTTCTGGGGAAAAAATAGACTCTTGTTTGGTTCATGGGCAGTCTTTTCATCAGTTGTGGAATTATGGATTGCTGTCTCTTTTATTGGTTTTGTACAGCCTCTGGCTAAGCAAAATAAAATAACCACCACAATCTAATTTTACAGAATGTTCTGGTAGGTCAGAAATTAATTTTAATGTATAAATACTAGAAGGGCAAGATTCCTTATATAAATAATATAAACAAAAAACTGCCCTTTGGGCAGAAGTATTCAGATTATGTAACTGGCTGATAATTTTGTAAACCTTTCCAAATCTTAATAAAGACACAATATCAACACCAGCACATAATTCAAAACAGCACCATTTACACATTGGTCATCTAAACAATGTTTTGGGACGTAGGTACCAAGCACAGGAATAATGTCCAACAGATAAAAAAATATAAATGAAAATGTATGGCCTTGTTCATCACCATCAACTGGAAAGCTCCTTTCTGAAATGTTTAGCAAGGCATCAGTGGATTTCATGTTCTTTTGGACAGTTCTGTAGAAAAAGAATTTAACACAGGATGTTTTAAGCAAACAAATCCCATATTTGTTTTCAAAAAGAAAGGTGCCTACAGTATTTTGAAGAAGATGCCCTAAATGTCAAAAGTGAAGCTCTTCAGGTATTTGGATTGGATCTGTGATGGACCACCTTCACTTTTTCAGAAGTGTCAACTTTTACCAGCTATTCAAGGATGGATTCAGACCTTCAACATTCCAAGATCATGCTCATTACTGAAATTCAGGGGCAAATGGCCAGAAGTGGAGTGCACATTCCATTTCTGCTATTAAATCCTGCAAAACAGTCTGAACAGCCAAAATTGCATTGCTAAAATCCAGCTACTTTGCCTCTGAATTTCAGTGTCATGATTTCAGATCAACTGGGGAGGCAGGCTAAGGACAGAACTGAACATTCCCCCTTCCCAGGTAAAATAAAAACTAACAACAGTTGGCCCGGATCTTGATGTCATGCCCTCATTCCCTGCCCACTGTGTCTGGCAAACCTAGTCAATTTTTGTTTATTCAGTAAGCCATAGTTCAGTAAACATGGCTTAGCAGTGATGTTTGAATTCAGCTAATGTCTCAACAGCTCAGATCCAAGAGTAGCAAAGGGCTGGGACAGGGGAATTTCATTGCCTCAGTTTTCCCTGTGAGTAATGGACTATGAAGGGGCATGCTGGACAAAGTGAGATTCTAATATCTCATTCTCTAAAATGAAGAGATGCTTAGGAAAACTGATTCATGAGGCATTCAGTAAATAGTCTTCTTCCATGTTTCGTCCCCCAGAAAGTTCTATTATGTGGCATGCTTCAACCAGTTGTCATGGGCCGTATCTCATTGACACATCCTCCATGGACTTTTCAAGTTAAACCGATTATGCAATTACAGATGGAGAATTAGAAACTTTAGGAAGTTAACCAAAATATAACAGATGTGAATATAAACTCAGGGGGATTCAAGTGCCAGCCATTTAAAGACACACCCAAGCATTTACACACACTTTAATTTGTAAGCACCGTGGACAAGAAATAAAGTGATTTGTAGGTACACGCAAAAAACCCCCTCCAACTGAAAGACTGAGGATATTTATGCAAAACAGTTAAGACACAGAAAAAACTAGCATGCACTATTGGGTGCTTTTAAGAAAGAAGTTTAAAATAAAGTTGTAAAATCTTGGCTCTGCCTCAGGAGAAAACCGGGGAAATGCTTTACTTATACAGTTTCTTAAGCTTACAGACAGACAAGCTTATAGTGGCCAGGATGTTCCTTTTAGTTACTCAGAAGCAGACATGGAAAGCCAGGTTCTTATGGTTAGAATTACCTGTTCTGTCAAACCTTCTCTCACTTCAGGAGTCTGGCACATTAAGTGCTGCATTGCAAGCTGTTCTTCTTCAGACAGAGAGGAGATCTACAGAAAAGAGAATGGAGTTTCTGAAGCAGACTTCTGCTTCTCCAAGTCCATATGCACAAAAATCTCAGGGGCTGAAGATCACCCATAGAGTTAATCCCTCTGGAATGAGGTCCTCCCCCCAGATCCAGACGGCCCCCACTATGTTGTTGCTTATAAGAGCCGCGAAGATCTGGCGCTTCACCCCGGCATTTAGTGAGGGAGAGGGAGACCCTTTGCTTCATTCCATCCGGTCTCTTGCACTTGCCATCTTTTTTTGGTTTTATTTAATTTCTTTGATTGCTGTGGTCTGCCCAGAATCATTGGATATTGGGCAGCATACTGGTTTAATAAACTATTAATTATTATTATTAAACTATAATAGGATTAGTTTCATTTTAGCTTAGTAACTTAAATTTTGCTTAGCAAAATGTATGAATGTTTGGCCCAGAATTTTGCAATTAATTAATTAACTAATGTATATTAATTTATATGGCCACCCAACTCACCAATGCAAATCTGGGTGGCTTACAGAAATTAATACAATGTATATTAAAATAAAATAAAAATAAAAATAAAAAACTCTACAATATTCCCGAACTAACACAAACTCTAAACTGAATTGTTTAACTTCCCAACTTTAAGGAAATGTTCTGCTTATCTGCCTAGTAATACTGGTGCATGTTTAGATGCACAGAAAATGGATCAAAATCTATTGGCTGATTTCTGTGAAGTTTTGCAATGAATTGATAGAGGCTTCTAATTCCTAATGCAAGATTGTTGTTGTTCAGTCGTTAAGTCGTGTCCGACTCTTCGTGACCCCATGAACCATAT